AAGTGATGTCATTCTGGACAAGAATCAGAGTCCGAATAACATTTTTTCATATTTGGACTAGAGTCTGAATAGTCACTTCGTTAATGATTTGCTCACATTTTTCACAGATAGCCTACAATAAATCAATCTTTTTTTTTTAATTATCAGAATCTGACAGGTCTTAGTTACATTGATGTTACATTAAACAATCGTTGAATCACTGAATTCATTTTTCATTTTCTCTGACTGAGCTCGGTCATTTTGATGAGTTTCCTAGATGGAAGAGGCTAGCCGTACTTAATATTGATGGCTGAATTGTAAATGACATATTTTGTTTGCAATGCCTAAAGTATTTGTTTTTCAGACAAATCCAAAAGGTGCCTTACTGACTTGCATGTACTTGAACCTGAATAATTACTAGATCTAGATCTATTGAGACCTGTGTACTTAACAGGCTTGAGTTGATAGGGCCAAACCTAGATCTAAGGGCGAAAACATAGAGAACGCCGATTTCGGAGACTGACTCAGTAAGCGCCGATAGGTATAAAAATTCCCTTATGATTTCCAACTTGCCCCACATAGAGCTGGCCGACTGCAGGCGGCTTTAAACTCGGATCGGAGTTGTCGGTTTTATCGGAATCCAAACTACATTCTTATTACGCCGAAAAACTGGGAAGGGCGTCTCGCTGTCAACTCACCACCGCAGTGCTTTCTTGTCGTATTTCCATTTTTTAACAGTGAAAATGAGACTTCTTCTTTAACTCACATTTTGTTATGAACTGTTTTCACTGTTATTAAAAATGGAGGTACGACAAGAAAGCACTGAGGTCGCGAACTCTCAATGCCGTCTCGCCGTCGCCAACTCGGGTTCAGCGATTTGTGTGACGTCACCCGACTGGACTGGGGACAATTTTAAATGGTCATTTCAGAGCTGGTGCTTCACGGTAGACAAAAACTAATTACATTTTTGAAATCAGCATCGTCAAAATAGGGTGGTCACCGAGCAGAACTGCATTTTAAGCAATATTTAAGAAAATTAGTGTTTTTTCCCCAAAAATATTATGCTTCATGAATACCAGCTGTGTTGTGGTGTAATTAATTTTAATTTTTTCTTAGAGAACGAGAATCTAGATCTAGATTAGATATCTCGGCTTTACTGTGTCAATAGAGTGTGATTTTGAAGAGACGAGGCCTGTGTTGTTTTTCGTTGTGCGTCTAGAGATCTGCTGTGTCGTGTCTTGTCAAAATGGATGTCGATTTACAATAATAATAATAATAATAATTAATTATCATAATAATAATAATAGAAGAGCTTTTGCCAAAAGGTGGGGGTGTTTGCATGAGGACTTTTTTAATCAACCACTACTCATGGTAAAATATGTTTTCTTCTGAAAACTTTATGCATATGGCAAGGAAATAAGTTGGTCAAGCTGCATGAGCAAGTAGATTGATGTGTGCATCTTATATCTCTACATAGAAAGATAATAGTACTAAAAATAGGGCATTTTTTACTCATCCTGAGTGCACACGTAATTGTATGTTAAATACAGAATATTGTTAATCTTAAACTATCAAACAGTAGTGCATTCAAACATTGAAAATAGTTTGTATACACCATCATAACAGCATGTGTCCATTAAAAGGGTTTTATTTTTTTATATTAATGATGTTATTGCTGAGTAAAATTTATAAGTTCGTTCATAACTCGTGTCATAATTACATCATCAGACTTTCCAAGGTCTAGAAAACCCAAATTGTTAAACATATCATCCCGGGAAATGACCGGTATTAAACATTGGTTTGACATTGATCCATCAGAAGGGTGATTTTCCGCTCCATCGCATGGTTTTGCTTAAATATGACTTTGATTGAGATAATCCAGGTTTGTCATAATGATGTTATGAACAAACACTTTATGATATTTCTGCAAAATATCATGTGAGGGACTTCCCACTGTTTCACAACATCCTTTTACATGGTGGAATGAACATGGAAGAGTATCGTGCTGATGACTCAAAAGAGAAGCGAAGGAGAAGCAAAAATATGCTTGTCATAATGGATTGTCATCATGTTATGAACGTGACAGTGTGTCATAATGGTTATGAACGAAACCTTATTCCATGTAATTTACAGTTGTTTTGGGATGTATTTTTAATTTTAACCCAACTTGAGGATGTATCAGACCTTGCTTATATTCAGATATTTTGATTTTTATGATAAGTGTATGGGTCTGGATTTTAATTAGTATTTTACTTTTGTAGTAATGGTTATGAATGAACTACATATTGTACTCTGAGGGCTTTACAGAGTTGATAAACATTAAAAACATGTACACAGATACATATTACGAGGAAACTTTCATTTAATATGAAATTTTAAAGTAAATGACAGGTCAAAATATTAATTTTTAGGTCAAAACTGAAGTTTGTCATAATAGTTATGAACGAACAATTTAAGGTATTCTAAGGGTTTTTCAGTGATTAAACTTTGAATTCTTCCAACATATAACCTTATTTTGAGGAGAGTCTCATAAATTAAAACAATTTTATGTGAATGACAGAACAATAAGTTAATTTTTTGGGCCCAAAGTAAAATTTGTCATAATAGTTATGAACGAAACAGTGTGTCATAACGGTTATGAACGAAACCTAATTCCATGTAATTTACAGTTGTTTTGGGATGTGTTTTTAATTTGAACCCAACTAAAGGACAGAATAGACCTTGCATACATTCTGATATTTTGATTTTTATCATAAGTTTATGGGTGTGGATTTTAATTAGTATTATACTTTTGTAGTAATGGTTATGAACGAACTATTTATAGTCCATTTTATATATTTTGAGGGCTTTTCAGTGTTAACAAACTTTAAAAACATGTACAGAGATACATATTATGAGGAGAGTTTCATTTAATAAAAGTTTTAAAAAATGAATGACAGATCAAAATGAGTAAATTTTTAGGTCAATATTGTAGTTTGTCATAATTGTTAAGAACGAACCATTTTAAAGGTATTCTAAGGGTTTTTCAGGAAATATAAACTTTGAATTCTCCCTACATAGAGGAATCTATCATTTTAAGGAAAGCCTCATAAATGAAAACCGTTTTATGTGAAAGACAGAACAATATAAGTAAATTTTAGGGGCCAAAAGTAAAATTTGTCATAATAGTTATGAACGAAACAGTGTGTCATAATGGTTATGAACGAACTTTAAATTTATGCATAATATGCCCTAAGACCAGTCTGCGTTTAAAAATAGCTGTTTAATGGTCTTTCATTTATCACTTGACTATAATTAGTCAATTGAGTGTTATTTTAGACAATTCTAGTCGATGAAACTTGATATAATTGATAGTATTTTGGTCACTTATTGTTCGTTCATAACTATTATGACACAAAAAAGTAATTTTATCAAAAATTAATAAAGATTTTTATAAATTGTCAATTCTATGTAGTTTTGGAAGTTATTTGCTATGTCTCAAAATCTACCATCAGCCTAGCTGAAGAAAGGAACTTTGAGTATTCATAAATTTGTGTCATCATTGTTATGAACGAACTTTTTGCTATTTCCGTCATTCAAGTCAGAATTACACCAAGACCCTTGCATATACAGCTTTGGCAGTTACTGAGTCTGAAAGAGCAATCATTAGGCTATATAACATGGGTGATTAAAGAATTATTACATAAAGTTGATTTTGGACCTCATTTGTCACACCCAGGTATCCCACCTTTTGGCAAATGCTCAGAAGATAATTTCTATAGCGCCCACTCCCGTGTAAACACAGCTCTAGGCACTTTACATAAAAATACATGTACGAACAATATTCACGCACGCGACACAAACACAAAAATACACGCACTCATACACACACACAAACATACACACATACACACACACAAACACACACATACACACTCACGAACACATAACACGCACATGTGCACACACATGTACGCCAAACACACACACACACACACACACACACACACACACGCACACACGCATCTACTTGCTTATCACACGCGCACGATTACACGTCGTCACGAAATGAGCATAAAATAATCTACACAATGCAATTCACAAAATACATAAATTATAAATGGATACATAGTCATTTACATAACATTGTATTGAACCTGAATCTACAGACAAAAAAGATGTCATTAAATGTGTCTTTAAAGATTTTTTAAAATTTAGACTCAGATGTTGTATGTCTCAAGGGTTGGGGACGAGAGTTCCAAACTCAACTGACGGAGCAAGGTGGGCGAACGATCTTTCAGCTAATTTTTTACCCCCTTTTCTAGGAACTCTTAAAAGATACTGATCGCCTGATCTTAGTGATCTAGATGGAACATACATCTGGATGAGATCACTAAGATATAAGGGAGCTTTGTTATTGACACATTTATGACATAATATTGCAATTTTATTGACATTCTATCGGACACGGGTAATCTCTCTCTTCTCTCTCCCTCCCTTTCTCTCCCTCCCTCTCCCCCTCTTCCTCTCTCTCCCCGCCCCTCCCCCACTCGGATGACGAGTCCATTCTTGTAAATTTGTAATCACTCAAGACCTAGAACTAGATCTAGATCTAGATTCTAGATACGGTAGATGTAGGCAGACTAGACAAAGACAAAGACCTAACCTAAAGTACTACTAAAGTAGATCAATGCAACGCGAGCTTAAAGGGATCGACAATAGGCGCCCTCTATGTGGAGTCAAGCAGACACCTACTGGCGCCTGTCCGAGTCGATCTTCAGCCGCTTAAGTTTCGGCTTTCTTTATGTTATTTGTTATCGCCCTAAGTACGGCTAGACTGCCAGTCTAGACTCTCAGTCTAGCGCCAGCCACTTCGTTCCTAGATTCTAGATCTTAGATCTAATAGATTCTAGAATCTATCTCTAGTTTGAGTCCCTATCCAAGCTCCTTGAGACTAAATCATTCTTGTAAAACGCATACGCCTAAACATCTTAAGTTACAAAAATCACAGAAAATAACTGCAGATAAAATAATATTTTCACCCCGTTTGAGAGCGAAATCTGCAGGTTTGTTCAGATTCGCCGCCATTTTGTGTCCAAGTACAACAAATCAAAAGTCGTAAATTGTACCCTACAACCATAGACTTTTATTACAATATCCTAGATTGTACACTGTAGTAGATTTCCGGTTCACTAGGGGGCGCGCCATTTGACCAGGGAGTAAACTTTCTGATTTGACTCTATTTGAGCCAACAAATGACAAAAGGAGAGGAGGGAGGGAGCACAATCAAATGAATGTAAAGGTAAGATTGAAGAATACCGGACCAGCGGACTGACTTTGCCAATGTCTCAACCTTAGGAATTCATAAATTTCCCGTTTTTAATATATCTCAATGGAGAATCTCGGACCTAGATCTATTCATTAAAAATTTTTCAGGGGGGAGACCTCCCTGAACCCCCATCCCCCCTCCTCCACCCCAACCACCCGCCCCACCTACCCCACTTTCTCGCGCAATAATGTACGAGTGGACCGGTATTCTTCAATCTTCCCAATGTAAATATTGGTGTTTAGCCTTTACTTTGACATAGTGGTTGTCACACTTCAGTGTGAGGTGTTTGTAGAAAGTAGAGAGGTGGCAAAGACTGGGTGGTCATAATAGCCTAGTGCACAATCTAGGAGAACACCATGTCTATGAGCAGGAAATACCATAACATAACCTAATTTCAAACTCATTCTCTCACCGCCAAATTATTGTCTAATAAAGGCAACAATATTTAGATCTAGATTCTAGCAACAATTCTGTTCTTTTTTTAATTTTGCGAACTTCAACATCATTAAAATAATAATAAACGAACGACGATTCGAACGTGTCAATAACAAGTTTCTATTTTTGGCAAACTGATGAGGCCTATTTCAGTTATCACTTGTGTGCAGATTTTTGGCCGAGAAAAACGAAAGTAGACAAGTCATCAGACTTACACCTGTGATCTGTGGATAATTCTCCCAAGGAATTGCACATTGCAGTTATCATGGTGTCTGGAAGCGTTAAGATTGGAGCCTCCTTGTCTTTCCTTGTAGTTTTAGTGGCCTTTCTCTACAAGCGACATGCAGACGAGGTGCTCCAAGCACGACTGAAAGACGTCTTGTCGGGTCTGCTGAGGGCTGAGAAAAAAGTTCCTCCTCCAAAGGTTAGGGTGGCTGTTGGTTTTGGAGGATGTGAAGATATTTTTGTGAACGGACTTGATTTGTTCAATCTTCTCAATTTGACAACTCCTGAGCTTGCGAAACACCACAATGTTGTAAACAATGCAGAGGAACTGACTCAACTCATGGCATACTTTTTCCCCCAAGGAGCTGCTGCTGAGTAAGTTAGCTGAAGAACTATTCTAGATATATATTCTAGATCTAGAGCCTAGATTCTAGATCTAGAATCTAATCTAGTAGTTGTCAAGAGCTGCGTGCAGGCTGTGTGTATGATATAGATGTGGCCATCAATGACATTGTTACACATCGATAAAAACTTTAGTTTTAGGATAAAGAAAGGCCTCTTCCCCCATCCAAATTTTCACCTGCACGCAGACAACATTACATTACTTTTAATTTTGGGTGGTTTTGGCTGCAGAACACACCTCATCACCTCTAGTCTAAAACTGCTGCTCAATAGGCCTTTTGTTTTCTAGAAAATCTCATATCTTGCATTACAAACGACCTCCCCAACAAACAGCAACAAAGAAGAGACCATGAGCCTAAACCTAGAAGGACGCACCTGCCTGATTGGCGGCTAATTTTAAGTTTATGTGATGCCATCACATCTTGGGATACCCACAGACTACTTTGGAAGGCCGTGGAGATACCAAAGATGGTGTAGTACTGTCAACAAAGATTCTCCACTAGTGGAGAATCTTTGGTTCAGTGGCTTTTAAGCAGCAGCATCACCGGAGCACAGCATCATAGGCCTCCTATCACAATACCGGTATCCCTGGAAAAATATCGCACCAAAGAGTCGTGCCATCAAAGATTCTTTAGGCCTACACAATCTTTGGTGCCAAGCGGTTGGCTATTTAGATGTAGTCACGTGATCAGAGTGGTATCCAGGTCTGACGTCATACAAGATGTGGCTGCCTTACCTAAAAATTAGAGGTAGGCGATTCCAATTCTTTTTCGGTTACCGAAGATTCCCGATTATTAAAGGCTAGGAGTCGTAGGAATCAGTTCCGAACCCCATTACTTTCATTATAGCCAGTGATAGTGATATAAAATGATTTCTTCCAGTGGTTTCGACCCCTAGCCAGTATCATGATTATATACAGCGATCAGCAGTTATTCCCACCCCTGCCATTACCTCCTTTGGCGAGTAGCACTTAGTCCGACCACGGCAATTACTTCCAGCGAGTAGCGATTAAATTAGTCCGACACCTGCAATTACTTCCGACGAGTAGCGATTAGTCTGACGCCTGCAATTACTTCCGCCGAGTAATGATACGTATTACTACTTCCGGGGAATAGCGATTAGTCCGACACCTGCAATTACTTTCGGCGAGTGACGAGTAGTCCGACCCCTTTGATTACTTGGGGTGGGAGGGTGCTATCCCGCCCAATCTATACAGTGTGAAGTCAGAGAACCAACGCTGACCTCAACCGAGAAATATGAGAGCCTGTAGTATTAAGCCTCGTGGGCAGACGTTAGTTGTAGATTTTGAATAGAAAATAAAGGGAATATAAAAACAAAAACAGATGAATGAGAAAAAGGCAAAAGCGATGAATACGTTTTGACACTGTGTGTATACTAAATCGATATATGTAATCTTTGACAATGAATTTGCATCCCGATTACTCTTTTTAAGTCTTCAAGGTTCAGGATAACCTCGATTTCAGAACATAGCGAAGCACCAACATTTTTTTTAAAAAAAACTTTCTTTTTAATAAAAATAAAGTAATCGAGAATCGTTAGTTTACGGAAAAAGGGGTCGGTTCTTTTTCTCAGAAGCAATAATTGCAGGGATTAGTTCTGGAATCGTTGCGTCGTTCTACATTTAGTCGCTTGTGAAGAGACCTAACCCTAACCCTGACCCAACGGCTACCCCTGCCCTACTCTTAGGCTACCCTTAAACTTCTGCCCCTACTCCTACCCCTACCCCAAACCTCAACCCTGTATTAAATTTTACTCTATTTCATAGTGGTTGCTGGTCAAAGAAATCTTCCCTTAATTGCTTAACATCAAATAACAATGAAATGCAAGGGGGTTGGGGCATGCCTCCCTGAACCCCCACCCAGTTTGACATCATAATGCGAAATACTAAATTACATTATATTATAATAGCTTAAATTTTTCAAAAATGCATCAATCACAGTGGATAAAGTAGAAATTCATGACTGATAAAGAATGAACGAGAAAAGTACTGTACAAACATAAGATTGGTGTTGACAGTAAAAATGACCGTCCACACTCTGATGTTACCACCTCCGTTTTAGAACTCTTGCATTAAATTTTAGGTTCTGCTGCTAAAGCATGCCAGTAGTTATGATAATGTTTGAATGAGCCCCTTTTTTAGGTGTATTACTTTTGTTTTTTAAATGTATTCTTGTGACTTTGTTTTTGTCTTCTTGATATGTGAATCAGATGTGTGTGCAATGTATTGTGAGATTCTCACATTCATTCATATATATAATGTAAATTTTTACTATTATATTACTGGGTTACACTCTCTCATGCAGATACATTGTAATACTGGGCCAAACCAGTGGTTTTGTTTGGCTGCCGAACACGGCCCTCTTATAAAATTTAAAAAAGAGTCGCAAATCTATTATTTTTTAGATATATATTCTCAAACCTTATTGCAAAACATCAAATTATAGAGAAAATACAGTTTAATAGAGAAAATTATGCCCCCCTGTAATCCCCCAAATAAAACAAAACCCAAGAAAAAAACCTCATGTCATTGAGTTCTTTGTTCACTTGATCACAGACAATTTTGTCTGGAAAGACACTATTCCTGTTTTAAAAAGACACTACTTTCTCTGTGGTTCTTGGCAAATTTTTGCTATTGTAGAAAAGTATTTTGAAGAACAAGAAATATCTGAAATACAGAAAGCCTTGAACAGTCCACCACACTTCCAAATGCGTGAAATATTACATTATGCAAGTTACTGGCACACATAATTTATGGAAAACATCAATTTCTCAAAAACCTATTTTTTGTGATGGGCAAATAGGCAAAATTTGTGTAAATGGATAAAAATTAACAGGGGGGTTCTCGTGGCCTAGAGGTTAAGGTGTTGGCCTCTCTTTCAAAGATCCCGGGTTCGAATCTGGGTAGCGACCGAAAAATGTTCTTCTCTAAAATTGTCTCCTTTCACCTCCTTTCCTGCTCTCTAGCAATATTCTGTCGTCTGCTTTCGTCTCCTCTTTCTGCCCTCACCCCCTCACCATAATTTATGGAAAACACTGGGCTCCTGACCCTTTCTGCAGCCTTTCTACTGCTACTCCTTGACTCTTTCTTCCTGCTGTCTTTCTGCCACACCCCTGATCTTCTGGTAGGAAAGATCTACACCTAGCCTTCTCGGATAAGGGCGAAAAATCTCGGAGGGCTCGTGTGCAAGTTGCGCACGTTAAAGATCCCCTGGTGGTCTAAAATCGATAAGAGAAGGCGTCGGCCGCCATCCGGGCAAAATTCAAAATTTCCTACCCAACTAAAAGTATTAGGTGTGTCCCGCGCGCTCATATGACCTTATGCAGTTGCGAGCGCCGTAAAACCCTCTACTATAAAAAAAAAATTTTTTTTATAATTAAAATGTAAAGTGTAAAGGGCTATAATTACAATTATAATTTACAATTGAGTCTGAGACTGTTGTAATAGTAAAACAGTATGTAAATACCCTGAATAGACGTATTTAAATGGCTCTTTTTGAGATCAGCATCTGTGTCTTTTTCTGATTGAGAACAGATCAAAATGTGTAGTTTCCATCAGTTTTTCTTTTAATTTTAAAAATTGTAGAATATGATCCATCATTTAGATGAATAATTTTGTTATTGGCTGATTGCATTACAGGAGATATATTGCAAATGACACATTCTTTGATGAATTGGTGGAGGCAGCCTCAAAAATACCTGGCCATAGGTGGATGCTGGGCGGTAATGCTCCTGCCATGGCGAGACGCTTTGCACTTGAAGGGCTTGACGTTCTCCTAGGAGCTCGAGTGGCCCTTTCTGTGGTGGACGGGCTTCCAGATTCCGTCAAAGGTGAGCTTGTGCTTTGTCAGACGTGTAAAATGCCTAATTTTTATCCTATTTATTGAGAAATGAATGCAGGATTATAAAAGTTTGACTATATAATAAGTTAATTATAAGTTAAAGTAGTGTCAGCTTGTGAGATAGAAAATATTCCAACCTATAATGGCATTTCAATCTTTTCTCAAGTCTCTTAAATTAGCTTCGGGTCATAATAAATTTTCATCAATTTTGGGGTGACCTATTTGTTTAGCTTTGGGCTGCCCTGGAAGGGCCTAATAAAAGTAAAATTCTCCTGAAGATGCAATAGTCATCCTTGTCAGTAAAGGAGAGTGGAAGTTGAAATTTTATTTCTTTCAACAAGCTAATTTTTTGGGGGGTACTTTCCTTGTTCAAGGTTCACTGTATGTTTGGAAGTCAATGGCATGCATTATGAGATGGAGTGTTGAATTTGGAGTAGAGAAATCCATTAGTGATAGCATGTCACTGGCTTTGATCACAGCACACATTCTTCTGCACAGGTTTCCTTGATCGGTTGCATGTTTTTCATAAAAAACTTTTAAACTGATTTTACGTGATGTGTTGTGACATTCCTCTTTGAATTTCAGCATTTCTGTCTTCATAATTCTCTTTGAAGTCAGGGGTGTGGGGAACTGAGTACTGAGTTGTTCCTCCTGAAACTGATATTTTGTATTTGCATGTAATTTAGCATGCTGAATGCAAAATACACTCAACTTTGACATAAGAACAGTTTTAAGCATAGAAAAGAGTGCAGCGATCAACCCTCAGACCTTGATGTGGATTCCACAAAGGGTTATTTATTGATTTGCCCCAATGTAAAACACAAAAATACCATATTTCAAAGGAGGTAAAAAAAGGTGAACACAAATCTGTAAATGTCCTTTTATTTATTAATGCTATTTAAGTTAAGAGAAAAATGGCATGAATTTGGGACAAAATTATCACTTCGCCCTGCTGTGTGCACTTTTCCGGTGCTCAAACTTGAATTGTTGCGGAACTTTTAAAAAATATTGCTTTTTACTTTGTGCATTGGCACTGATTTTTTAGCCCTTGTCGATCTTATTTACAATACAAGAGACAAAAGAATTGAATAAATCTTTACCGAAACAGTTAAGTTGTGAATACAATAAAATTTGAGTTTACACATTGCTCAAGCTGGAATGGTGCTGAACAAGACAGAGTACACTATGGGATTTATCAATGTTGGGCCTTATTAGTATGTTATTACAGTCGTTGACACGGATTGTGCATGACAGCACAAATGTATTCATAATGCAAGCATTTTATATTATGGAAGATCTTTTGTTTTTAAGTAAATGTTTTACGGCGCTCGCAACTGCATATGAGCATGCAGGACTCATTTAACATTTTCGGTAGGTAGAAAATTCTGAATTTTGCCTGGGTGGGAGACCAATGCCTACTCTTATTGATTTTGGACCATCAGGGGATCTTTAACATGCGCAACTTGCTCAGGGGACCTCCAAGATTTTTGTCCCTTATCTGAGAATGCTAGGTGTAGATCTTAACTACCACAAGATCAGGGGTGTGGCTGAAAGACAGCTGTAAGAAGGAGCCAAGGAGTTGCAGTAGAAAGGCTGCAGAATGAGTCAGGAGCCAAGAGGAGGGGGGCAAAGAAGGTGAGGGGGTGGGGGTAGAAAGCAGACGAAAGAACATTGTTAAAGAGTAGGAAAGGATAGGAGAACCTGGGACCTATTGAAAGAGAGGCGAACACCTTAACCTCTAGACCACTAGAGCCTCCGGAAGGTCTTTAAGACTGTGGCCTGGTATGCTCTTCAATAGTAGTAGTATTCTTTATTTCCAACTCTTTCTGTTGACTAGTATTAGTATCATATTACAGGATTCTGAACTGAAGAAAATTAAGCAACTTACTTTCGTAAGGTTATAACGTCCTACTACCCCTACATGGCGGAACGAGGTATTGATAATTTAGCATGAGACAGATGCATTCAATATTAATATTCATTTTTTTAGATTTATGTCTATTTAGACTATTGGCCTTCATGTCTGCTTATCTAAGTGCATTTGTCCATACAGCCCACAGGCAGCCAACTGTGTCCACCGTAAACTGTCTCAACTCCTCACACTTGTGACTGTACGGAAATAAGATTTGATGTAATGAAACGGCACTCTGCCGTGTAGTATCTTAGAAACATCCATTGTTGTGTTCCTCAGTTATTGGAGAGACACTACCCAAATCAGATGTGCATCTGCTTATGGAGTACGACAGGAATGACAAGTGGGGAAAATATGTTAGTCCACGAGGAAACAGGTGGGCTTTTTCAGTTACCTACCAAACCATTTTTAGTGCATACTCTTCTTGCTGTTCTCTTTGTTGCTGCATGTTTGCTACCAAAACTTTATAGAAAGGGTTGAAAGTGACTCAGAGGGAATGACCAAGTTTATAGACTGATATTGACCATGTGTGCTTAGGAGAAAAATGAGCTGTGTTAAGTGCTCTGTTATAAGGCTTTTGTTTGGCTTCAAAATCATGATTACATGATGATTTATGGTAGATTGTATATATACAGTCAAGCACAGATTAATCAAGCATGTGATTATTGGATTCACAAATAACTTGAACAATGTGCCATTCCCCCAGCTGACTGAACGGGTAGAGTTCCTTTGTATTGGCAGCACTGTTCTCAGACACCAGCATGGTTGTCTTGAACATCTCATCTTGAAAAGCTAGGTCATAATTTTTCCTCACAATTGTTTCAAATTCAAATCACCCTGCACCCACAAGGGAAAACAAAACACCCATCTTCTTCGATACGCTCATCACACATCACCTATAGTATAATAGTCAGTCATGTGCATAAGGCACCAGAATTTCCTTGAGTCTAGTCATGTGAGGATGGGTGGTGGGGTGGGATTGAAGACAAACAATATGACTCTGCATTGTTCTGTATGGTGTGCTAATTATGTTGGTGATGTGATTTTGGAGAATTTTTGTTTAAGTCGTTAGGCTCATCAGCATCGCTTTCCTTCTCTTTCTTTGTTCATCACCAAACTAGGCATACGCTCAGGCTATCCTTTTATCGATACTGGGTGCGATATATGCGAAACTGTGTAGTTTTAACACTCCTTACAACACTAAGATTATTTACAAAACAAAATTTTTTAGTTGTAGGTCCATGTTTGATAGGATGATTCTAAATGGGAATATGGCTTGCAAAATGCATTTCTCAAAGACGCATTGTCAAACCGAGCGGAGCCTCAGATTCAGATCCCCGAATCTCACAATTACCAGTCCAATAGTCTTAACTTAACTATTGATGCAACGTAAGAGATACTTTTTATTATGACAGTGATTATTTTTCTGATCATTATACCACCTCAGTGGCTTACCTTGATTTTCTTCCATATCTCTGGTATTTTCCATCATAATATCAGTTTATTGGAATTACTGATGTTTTGAACACACTTGTCAACCCCCATCGTGTTCACGATATCCGTGCTTGACTGTATGTTACAACTGATTCATTTATATATAATGGCTTTGTACCATATCCAACAGTGTTACTGGTAGCTAAAGGGTTAGTTGATGTTAATGGACTCCCTGTAACTATTTATTTTTAAATGTTATACGTCTGTTCCTGTTTTGGGGAGCAGAAAAGGCTTTTTGAGAAAATATACCCTGCCTTCCCAAGTGCTGTTGACGTAAGATTTTCCAGTCACATAGTCTGTGCATGTTTGAATCATTTGAAATATTTTTCCTTACCAACTGCATGTTGTGGAAGACATTTTCATCCCTGTTTGGCTTTCTTAAGGTAGAGTTTTTAATGTCTTCTTGGTTATTCTGTTTTCTTTAAAAAACCTATCTTTGCTCCTTTCAGACTCATCGTTCACAGTGACAATGTGAATCCCTATATAGATGGAATGGAGGCATTCATTGAGGAGGTGGTCAAGTTTCAGCCGTCACTTGTAGTCATTGGAGGCCTCCAGATGATGGATGGGTTTCCATATGAGAAAGGTAATTCAATACTAATTGGGTTGTTTTGTTGGGGGAGGGGGGGGGAGCTTGAATTTATCTTTTTATTTTTTTGTTGAGATATCGTAGATGAAAGCCCAAGAAGTTTATACTCTTTATGGAACCAGATACCTCTCAAAACAGTTTTTAAAGATTTCAAAATTCAATGTAATCTTTCTTTGAAAAATAATCCCTGGTTCTAAGCGTGCCACAGATAAGGATGTGATATACCTCTCAAAACAGTTTTTTAAAGATTTCAAAATTCAATTTAATCTTTCATTGAAAAATAACCCCTGGTTTTAAGCGTACCAAAGATAAGGATGTGATATCAAAACACTGGGCCGAACACTTTGACAGTATATTAAACCAACCATCGAGTATCAATTCCAAGACAGTCCCCCAACAGACACAGAAACCAGAATGCTATAAATGTCCTTTTGTAAGGCCCCTAGTATTACTAGTAAAGTCTTTAACTCCTGTAGACTGCAGGCAAAGCCAAAAACTAGCATGATACATGTCTGTGAACTGTTATTTGCTGATGATTGTGCATTGTTCGCTCATAAAGAATCCAGCACACAAAACTGTATTGATCTGTTTTTCAAATACATATAAGAACTTTGGACTCACAGACCCTCAGAAAAACAAATGCCGAGAGTCTGTTGTCAAAAGAACTCAACTTTACTGGGCTGGGCGTGTTATAAGAATGCCTGAGAATTCCAAAGGTAGTATTCTATTCTGAGCTGTCCTTAGGGAAGCACAGCTACGCAAAGGAACATGTCTTTGAAGGACTTAAGCACGAAAACCTTCACATGGAAAAGTCTAGCTTCTGGAAAATTTCTAAATTTGATAAAATCATTTGTTGAAAAGAACTTGTCCCGACTGATGCTTTGATTAAAACTTCCATTACTTTACTTACTTGCTTCTTCTCTCAGGTGTGCGACAAGCCAGACTACAGAAGCTGAGGGACTTTCTGAAAGAGATCCCACGTTCCACCCACATACATTTTGAGATGGCTTCTTTTGCAGATGAGGGCTTATTGAATGAGATCATTGAAAATGTGGTCTACTTTTCAGACTCCTTGGGAATGAATGAACAGGTAAGTTCTGTGGAATTTTGTGGTTTGTTTCTGTCAAATTATTTGAGCTCTACCTTCGGAGCCTACCTGACCTGTGTGTTGACTATATATATGCCACTGTGCACTGATTTGTGCTGTCTCCGAACAAGTCAATGTAGTCACTCTCTGCAGAGCTCCTAACAGATGCCATGTCAGTACTGCAGGCAGTCACTGCCGAAAAACTACCAAGGCTATGATAAGTAATTGAGGACATCCCATGTCTGAGGATCATGCTGCAGTGGATTCCATCACGCTGTGGTGTTTTAGGAAATGAGCAGGCAGACAGGATGGCCAAACTAGGAGCACAGAAAGAACAACCAGACAACAGCGTTAACTACACAGAAATAAAAACCATTATAAATACACTATTTAAAGCACCTCAGACACCTGTTAGCTACCATGAGCTGTCCCGCCAAGAACAAGTGATTATCTTCCGACTAAGGACACAATGCACAAGACTGAGACAACATATGTACAGATGTTTTAAACTAGTACAGTCACCAAAATGCCAGTGTGGAGAGGCAGACCAAACTGTTGAACACTTCCTTTAGCACTGCAAGACACACAGGGCCCTGAGACAGGAAACATGGCCAACCCCACTGACGCTGTACAAGAAAAGCTATACGGGCCGACAGATGAAATGAGCAGGACGGCCCAAATTATTACAGATACCAGACTTTAATTGTGATACGATCGAGGAGAAGAGGAGAGAGACTCTCTGCAGACCTGCCACTCATCCTGATATAATTGGGATATCCTGATTTTTTTGCCTCAAATCTCAAGCATCCCGACTTTCCCGATTTCAATCACGTGTATCCCAATTGTTTGTTCTAGTTTGTTGCATCGGATATTTCTAAAAACTTACTCTGCCTTCTTCTCTAAAGCAGGAAGTAAAATGTTTTCAAGTGTTTGAAGCTTGTTTAAGGCCTGGTGGCATAACGGGCATAGATTCGTCCGCACCTTGGTCAGGTGGCCGCATCTGTGGCTCGTCATTGGCCGCGCTCAGGGCAGCTGGCCTCGAAGTGGTACGCCAAGTTGTGCAGAAAACACCCACTGCACTCTATAATTGAAGTCTTTAAATTCCCTGCCAGGTAAGGGCTGTTCCTGCTGCTTTTTTTCCCTTTGTGCAGAAGCAATGCTAACTGGGGGGGAATGTTTTCTCGTGGCTGCAAGTGGTCAAGTTACTCTAGTCAGCCCAGTCAGTAAAACTGTGTCAATCGCGCTTTGGCATCACATGACATGACTTCAGCATGTGGGTTCATGTGTGTCAGGGACTATCAGTTGAAGGGGTCAACTTAAGGTCATATACACGGGTTGAAGTGTCTTTCGGAACTTATTGGTGGATGGAGGGTGGACACTTGGGTACTTGGAGTGATGCTTTCAGGATTATTTTTTTAAAATAATCGCACACATACGCACGCGCACACAGAGAGCATAATAAATATAAATCTATATTTTAAAATTTTATATTGGCTTGACAGCCACCTTGGTGATTTGCTGTTGATCCCAATTTTTTTTCATCAAATCCCAATTTTTTCCCCCCCTGAGATTCTGATTTTGCGTTTTCATAGAGTGGCAGGTCTGTCTTAGGGTATATCAAGTAAAGTTAAAGAAAAATGCTCAACTTTATGACTGTGATTTAGTTCTGGTAAAAGGCAACACAGAAAGAGACAACTGAGAGAATATAAAGAAGCTGAGCCTAGTGAGAGAGGCTTTTACCTTTGCACTGAAAGTTAAAATCATGCACAAATGTATAGAGAAGAATTCGTGAGAGGCATTATGGGGTCTGTCAATATTGATGACATGGACTTGTATTTATCCTTTTTAAATGAAAAGATGCTGCCTGCAGGTTTCACTAAATTCTCATTAAACTGTGACAAACGACGTATACAAGTTTTTAATGCTATGCATTATCATCAGTACCACACACAGGTTCTTTAATGACAAGTCATTGTCCTTTTCTGTGTTTATATTACTTTGAGTTTTCTTGTACTAATTATGTGAGGTTTGCTCTAAATTGAAGTTGAGTCAGCAACACAGATTTTTTACCATTCTTCTGCCTACGCTAAGTCCGGATGCACTCAGTGTTTAGCTTTTTGTAGTCCTGCAGCTGTCATTATTCACCAGTCTATGTGTAGGTAAAAGTGCAAGCTCTGTCTTTTGTTCAACCAGCTGTTTACATGCCAGAGTAAAGTACACCACCTACTAAAGGGCATGTAAATGTAGCCCTCTGTGGCACTTTTTATGACTAAAGCAAAAGATATGGACTCTTACTGCTGGAGAAGTGTCAATTAATACAAAGGGGACAAGAGTCCAAAAACCACCAGTTTTGGCTTCAAATGTGGCATTTGAAGAAGTAAAAGGAAATGTGTTCGGGTTTTTTCATTTTAGCCCAATTGGCCCATTTTCCTGAGGAACGAAGATTTTTTAATCCTCCAGTGTTTTCAATCTTTCCTGCAGGAGCTTCCAAACATCCTGAATATTCTTCAAGGAGGCAATGTGAGCTTGGTATCTGACAGCTATCCTCGTGTGGCATCAGTCCTTGATGAAATGAGAACTGTCTACAGCTTGCTGAAAGACACTAAAGAGGTAATTTATGCTGGCAAGCTAATATTGAAATGATTGTGTTTATTTGGTGGCCTACAATGAAATTTAAATCTAAGAAAGGCTCACCCAAACATTTTGCAAATTTTCACTATAAAAAAATTGTAGTTACCAAAATATTATGTTCAGCTGCTGCAGTGATTTTTGGAACCAAAAGCAAAATTTAAAAAGAGAAAAGAATCCATGTTTAAAATTTTGTGATTTGATATTTCCCTTGTCTGTCCCCGTCGTTTTATGCAAGAAAAATTCTGAAATTTTGCAAACTGAGCCCAAAAATGTGAAATTATGCGATTCTGTTAATTTTAACAAAGAATGATAAAGGAAAATAATCAGAAATTATGCAAAATATGATGAAATTTTGCTAAATTATGCGGGGTGCATAAAACCACGGGGACTGCCTTGTACAACTTTCAGACATTAAATCTAGACAACTTTGTTAAAATTAGATTTACCAAATAAATTTGCCCTTTTAACCATTTAGCACCTTGAGCAGTGCTGCGCAGAGTCTATCGATTCTCTCCTAGAGCAGTTTTTCAATCACCAAACGCACAACACTGCCATGGTATACATTTCTATGAGATCTAAGAACAATTCTAATTAGAATTGAATGAAAACGAGGCATTAAAGCGAAAGTAGAGTTGTTCTTCTTTCTTTGAATTTTTGTATGGTCGAAATTGACCCATAAATAGTGCATGTTTGAATTTTTAAAGTAAATATGACGCAATGGAGAGTGCGATGTAATTAAAACTTGGACAAATCCAAGAACACTTTTAAAATACATAAAGACGCAGCCCATGAAGTGATCCCAACCAAACAGTGATACATTGAAAGTTCATTTTTCGGCCTACGTTATAAAGTATATTAAGTCACTAAAGAAACTGCTTTTTTTTTCTTTGCTTTTTTTGACGAAATAGATGAGTAACGAATGAAAACCCGATAGTCACAACTATAATAGGAGAAATAGACATCTTGCCCATACTGTACCACAGCGGAAACTGGGTCATTGGAAGCAGTATTGTTTTCCTAATGTAGCTGCGTTTTTTACAAAGCATTTTTGTAAAGAATTTTAAAAAACATTTGTTGACAGTTTTAGAGTAATTATATCCCTTTTCCAGGATTTCAGGGCATGTATCTGGACAAATCCCCAAGAGTTAAATGGCTAAGCCTTTCCTAGACTGCAACATATGGTATCCCATAAAAATTGTTTGTTAAACTAATATTGATTGAGTTCGTTAATCGAACTGAGTTTAGTAGTGCTTCGGTTACGGATGATAAGTCCTGATTCAATTGAAGTTGAATGCATCCTACTTTTTTTCCCCTGGACTGGTTTTTGTAGGAGGATTTTGATCTGTTTTTCCCCAACTTGGGTTGATAGATCTTCTATGTTATTACTTTCCCTTAATTGATTTTTTTTTTTTTAATACGCCTGCGGTGAAATAGGTGTCAGAAATGTACATGGGAGAATTTTCTTGAGTCTCATTTAAAGACTGAAGGAATACCATAATAACCTTCAAACTAGCTTTATTTTCTTCATAATCTTATGTCCAATCCTCAGATTGACGGACGACGTAAGTTGACCAGACTTCATGTGCACACATTGGCCTTTCAAGCTATCCTAACTACCAAGGAATCTAGTTGGAAAAACACAATGTCAGCTGCTGCAAAGGCAGCTCTTACAGCTCATCGCTACACATGTGGCTCTCACCAGATTGACCCTCAAAAAGCGAGACTCATTATGGACGAATCCTTTTCTCTGAGTAAAACCCCAGAGGCAGGGCGCATTCCAGTGAATGATACTCGCCCTGTGTCATGTTGGCAGGAAGATGGTTTTGACTTGTGTGTTGCACCAGTGCTTGTGTGTACTAATATTTTGCAGACAGGAGGAGGTGGTGACAATGTGTCAGCAGCAGGTTTGGTGCTTCAAGTGTAATTGCTGCCCTCAGTTTTGATCATATTGTGTCGTACTGCATTTTCTTTCGTAGTTTTAAAGCTTTGCTTTATGACGATGACTGATTTTATTGTTGTTACAGAAATGATTTTATTCCCACCTTTGTAGTATTTGACCAATGTGTAAATCGGACAGTAATTAGTAAGAAATATGACTTACAAATCACAATTTTTATATGGTACTTTGCTTTGCATTTAAACATTTTTTTTATTTTTTTGGTGGCTTTTGGTAAGAGTGACTTGTAGTGTTGCACCAGTGGGTGGCAGTTCAGAGCTTTAAATTTTACTCTTTTTTTTTAAAGCCAAATTTTAACCCTCCAAGTATCAGAAGTAAAATCATTTCTTAATCTGATGTTTCACTCAACGGAGTCTGGAACCTGCACCCAACACATCATCCTGCTCATGTTTATTTGCACTGTCCTAGTATCGCTTTCATCCCTACAAAATAAATAAAAAGAGCAGGAATTTATCTGGCCTTTTGTTTAGATGGTCGAGTGCTCTGATAAACTGTCATGAGCGTTGACAGAAGTTGAAATTGAAGACAACAAGAGAGTTTTTTTGGCTTACCCAAGCTTTTTTTCACTACTTTTTTTCTGTTTCAGCTGATGTAAATTTTTGCTGTTTTGAAACAGGCTAATTTGGTGAATTAAGTGAGCCGAAACCATAGTCCCCTGAACATCCATGTCAATAGTAAACAACTGAAACAGGTAAAAGAGTTTAAATATCTTGGCAGCACTTTTTCTGAAAACGGGTCCATAGACAGAGAAATAGAAATGCGAACTCAAAAAGCCAACGCTGTCACCTACCAGCTCGCGCCCCTTCTATCTCATCCAAACATCTCCATGGACACAAAGAGACAGCCTATCACCTCAATATTCATACCAACATTATGTTATCAGTGCCAGACCTGGACCTAAAGCAAAACTCATGAAAACAAAATCACCGCATGCGAAATGAAATGTCTCCGCAAAACCCTTAACATCACAAGACGAGACAGGCAGAGAAATGAAGAAGTAAGAGCAGCTATCGGCACTGAGTCCTGCCTGCGTTACATAGAAAGACAGGATAAAATGGTTTGGTCACCTGTTACGCATGTCACCTGACCAGCCAGCCTTGAGAGCCTACAACACCAAGCACTCAGGCTATAAAGGAAGAGGAAGGCCACGCAAAAGGTGGATCGAGGGTGTCAAGGAAACCCTAAGAAAATATAACATCACAACTGAAAGAGCTGCGGAGCTGGCCTACCATAGAAAACTGCATCTCCCCTCGACGCTTAACGGCAACAGAGGATAAAAAAGTAAAAGTAAGTAAGTAAAAGTTGCGATGAGAAGGTTAAAATAGTGGCTGTTTGAGTTAGCAGTGATGGCTCGTTAACAAATGTATGGCCAATTACATAAGACATTGACACTTGGAGGGTTAAAGAGAGTACTCTAAATGTTTACTGGAGCTGAGCCATAGTTGGCCTGTGAATGTTCGTTGTCTTCAAAAGACAGCAAGTTCAAGTTCCAGGCATTATTGTTTGTTTTGACAATATTAAATGAAGTGCATATCAATTACAGCTGTAATAGTATACTTTGCAATAACATATGTGTCACGATGCGGTGGAATCAGGCGCTCGTCCATTTTTGGGCATGTGGAGTTATTGATATAATGTGGAAGCTGATTTATTTGCTTTGCTTCCAATGAAATAAATATCCATTTATCTTGAATAGAAATCAAAATATTTGCGATTGAAGGAAGTGAGATCGCTTGGTTTCAGTGATGAAATTAGTGAGAAAATGGCTACCAACGACTGGTAACTCCAATAGCCAAAGAGTCCTTGAAAACAAAAAAATAACATATTTTGTGTCTTTAATCAATGTTTTTCAGTAAAATTCACATGTAAATGTATTTTTATACGGATGTTAAAGAGGTTGAGCCAAAAAAAAAAAATTCGTTAAAAACTTTCTAACTGGCAGAAAAATGCCTCTTTCTCCGCTTTTTGTATTTTGACGAGCACCTGATTTCACCACACTGCCTCACATATATAATGAAAGATTTACGTGTGAATACATTGAAGTTTTTTTAATGAAATTGTTTGTATAACATGAAAACTCTTTATTTGAAATTTCAGTATCAAGAATGGAATGCAGGGCAGTGGCATTATTTTGTGTGATAATGCATTCCAAATTGGATGTCATATATTGGAAATATTTAAATGATCAAGAGGCATCCTTAGGAAAAGTCTGCCACTGTTTTGTGAAGGAAAGTTTCTTTTAACCATTGTTAACTTATTCGTGTATGTCCTTTTTGATAGTCCTCAAAGACCCAGTCAAAGCGTAATCAGGAGTTTAGGTTGTCGTTTAAGATAATCAAAGAAGTATATTTTTAGTCAAGTCGACAAACTGTATTTGACCACAGATCATTCTCAAGTTTTACTATGAAATACAATATATATCAATGTAGTCTATTCCCTTTTGCAGTCAAAAGTCAGATACTAGTACAAGAATATTTGCAATTTTTATTATTTGACAAACAAATTTACATTTGGGATGTTTAAATCAGCTTCCATATTTTTAAGTTTCTGAGGACAACCCCTTCCACCCATATAAAGATATCTATGGATTTCTTGTTGTCTGAAAATAATCACCCCTCAGTAATTTCCAATTTTTAACACTTGCGATGTGCAAACACACGAAGAAGTATTTCTTTGGTATGTGTCTGTGTGTGAGTACAGAGGTGTTAATTACCCCATTCAGAGAATTGCCTTTTAACTAGTCCTTTACAATGCCTGGTTGAATTAGTAACCTTAATTTTTTTAGATCTGTGGCCAGTTCTATTCTTTTTTCTACATACGTGGTACAAGGTGTTTTCCATACTATAAAAATTAAATGCTTCTCTGGACTGTGATAGCTTCTACAGATTGTTGTCCCTTAAGAAGGCAACATAAACATAATAGCTTTCACACAATCCCCTCAAAGCTTTCTCTCAATCCTTTCAAAGCATTTTATTTTCCTTTAGTCTTTAGTACAGAACCATGGAGAGTCTAGACTAGTTATATGTACCAAAAAAAAAGCCCACGCCCTTCGATTTATTTTGGCACTTTGGTTGATTTCTCATAAAGTGATAAGAATGGGAATTGATTGATTTCTCATAAAGTGATAAGAATGGGAATATTTTTTTATGCAATGCATTTCTCCTTGCAATATTTTGCGTTGGAACTTCAAATATGTTTAAATTTTCATGACCTTTTTTTTAAATCTTGGGTTTTTCGTGTTAGCTACAATTTTGGTTGAGGCATGTGAGCTGGATAATGTTGTGTATCTGGTTAGACTCACAATATTGATTTACTATTTGGTCATAAATTTGTAATTTCTAGCCAAATTTTCTCATTCAAAATGTCCAGAATTTTTTTTTGCGTTTGTCAATTGTGTCAATTGGGGCTTAAAACTCCTACAACTATGATTTTTTTAAAACAAGATTTGCAACATCACAACTTGTTTCAAATTGATCAGATGCATAAATGTAAAAAGAACACTTAATCAGTTGAACTCGGGTTTGATAATGTTTTGATCGTACCTCAGTGTTTGAAATGGGTAGATCTACTTTTTTTTATCTTGCTGTTTGGTTTTAGTAACATTACCCTTTTATTGTCTTCAGGTTATATTTTAGTATTAAAACTTGTTTGTGGGGCATCCAGGTGGAATCAGGCACTCGTCAAAATAATGGCATTGATTTAAAGAAATCTGCATTTTCCCGCCAGTTTGGCAATTTTTATCGAATTTTTCTTTTATGGCTTAATACTTTTTATGTCCATTCTAAAAAAAACTTCTGTGCGGATTTTACTGAAACACATTGATTAAGGTAACAAAAAAATATGCATTTTCAGTTTCCAGGGACTCTCAAGCGAAAGAAAAAAACAAAAGCTGAAAAACTTTGGCACCCATTTTCTCACAAATTTTACCTCTGAAATCAGGTGACCTGACCCCCACCTCCTTCAAACACGAACATCTTGACGTGTATTTATATTCAAACTCCATATGCCAAGAATTTGACGAGCACCTTATTCCACTGTGTCGTGCCGCAATTATTTTTTATGGGTTTGTATTTCATGTTATGGTAAAATATGCCTGGCATGTTCAGCTATCTATGAATGAGATTGTTCTAAGTTTTTTAAATTTGCTTTGAAATTAAGTATTAACAGTGCTGATGTTCCGACCACACAACATTGTTGTTATAACAGTGAGATCTGTGCAATTGATTTATAAGAGCAAGATGTGCTTTCATTACACCTCTTAAAACTTACTTGGACTGGTTCTTTTGTCTCATCCATGCCTTAATTATATGAGATTCTACAATCATGGATGCTTATTTCCTCTCTTTTTTCTTTGCCTTAATCAAGAGTTAGAAGTTTGTATTACAAAATGTACTGGCTGTTATTTACACTTTTTTTTCTTCTTTTTTTTTGTGCCATATTATCTGTCTTTAAAGAAATCCATGGAGATGACACCAGAAGAAATTTTTGGTGTGATGATAAAATATCTTTAAAAAATATTTTGATCGGATCTGATGAGACATTGTATAAAAAATGCATTTCCAATGTGTCTTATGCATTGTAATGTACATGAAGCTTGAAAGAATTGTCCCAAACTAAGCCATGTGTTTTAGACTTTTGTGAATCTTTCAGTCTTTGCGTTCTTCAAGAAATTGAGTTTTCATTATGGCATGCCTTATAAAAACAATGTATTTTGAACAACTTTAATCTTAAGCCACTACAGTTTTTACAGAATAATGTTAACTTGAGTGCCTCTGTGGTGACAGAAGTTTTGGTTTGAAAATATTTCTTTTAGCAAAAGAAATTTATAGTGGACAAAATTTTTGCTTTGGGGTAATAAAATAACAGATTTGGAAATTCTGTTTTCATTCAAAATCGATGCAGTGTAGCAGAAAACTTTTCAGTCACTTATTAAAGTAAGAATAATGAATAGCATTTGTATAGTAACGATGATGTATAAAAACTAATGAAGCTGAAAACTGGTTCTGAGTATAACTTCCTATCCTTATCTATGTAAACGTGTATGTTGGATATCAAGCACAAAATAGAACATGTAATTGCTTTAGCCTGGAAAGGGATTCAAAATCTTCTTTACAATATCAGATTGTATATCATTTTTGTAGGAGCAGAAATCAAAAGTCAGTCCATCTGTTTTTTCCCCTTTTCAAAATTAAAGGTTTAATTTGGAATGAGCCTTTAATGAATGTTATAGGAATATTTCGTATGTATGAAAAATCGATGTTGTTATCTGCAGTTGGCGATATTTAAGGTTGATCACAAAAAGAATGTTTTCATTTAAGTCAATTGGCGGGGGGATTTGGCTTAAGTGAATGACTTCATATTGCATACAGCAGTATAGATCATTGTTTTTTATGTTTAACTCTCAGAATTCCTTTAAATAGGATGCTCAAGGGTTTATAGCCTCAACCAAAGACCTCAATGTATATTTGTACTGCATGTGTGAATTGGAAAACCTCTTTTCCTGTGTAGCATCCTAGCTTCTTTTTTTTTTAAATACCTCTCATCTTTTTTGTGGTGTTGGTACCTTAGTGCCCTTGTTAGACCTTTAATTGAACCCTTTTCATCTGGAAATGTATTTCTGTCTTTACTGACTCGATGTGGGCAGCATTGTGTCAACAGCTGTCTGTAGATCTGGTTTGTTTAATTGTCATAACAATAGGGAACAAAAATCGTTCTTTTGTAGTGGCAGATAAACAGGAAAGAAATCAATTTGCAGTATTAAGGCTATTTCTTTATGAGAACTAGTGGATTATGTTCCATGAAAGCTTTCTAGAAGGGTAAGCATTGCGTACAGGTAGTTTGTTATAACTATTACTCTCGTCGGGTCTATTGAAAATTTCAACCTCAAGGGTCATCACTTTTTTTTATTATGGCAGATGTGCTTCTGCAGAGCCAGTGAATTGCTTTACAAATTGTTTCTTGATCAGTTTCTTTTTAGGCATTTCTGTTTGAGTTAATATGGTACATATCTACTTTTATTAACCCCTGTTTGCTCAAACATTTGTCTTTAGATCTCATTAGTTGATTAATAAATTTTTTATAAAAATCAGTGATATTTCTTTGGATTTATTTGGACTTACGATAACTATGACTACATTATTTTGTGTGAAAAGGAAACATTTCGCAGTTGATTTTTATTTACAATGTAAACGGAAAATTGTGCTGAAATCATTATGTGCTTAGCCTTTCAGCCGCCAGTTTCTGGGACGGCCCAATTTATGACAGATACCAGACTTCAAGTGTGATGCGATCGAGAAGAAGAAGAAGAAGAAGACTCACCCTAGATGCAAAAAAAGGCATTTATGAGGCCAATGTTTGTCTGCCATTTTGATCTTTTATTAGTTGGGGGGGGGGGGGGGGTGTTGGTTCAATTGAGTACTTTTGGGTAACCCTTGGGGCACTGCACCTGGTATTTTAAAAAACCAAGGGACTTGTCGTGCATACACATATATACTGTACATGCAATAGTAATAACAGATAGCATTTGTATAGTGCAAATTCCTGTTCAACAACAAGTTCTGTGCGCTTTATAATCAGTATTATGTTACCCAGCAGACCAGATTGAGATAGCGTTCTGAAACGATCAACTTCCTGGGAAGCATTCAGTGCAAGCTGCCATTTTAAAGGCGCTAAAACACTAGCACACAGACAAGATCTTTCGTTGTCTATGGCACCCATTCCCACCTAGGTGAAATGAAGAAAATTCATCTAAAGTGTCCTAAGGACACGTCAGGCCTGAGGCTGGAACCCCCAAACACGCAAACTCACGATTACAAGTATTGTAACTGTGTAACCTAACCAATTGGTTATCACACCACATTTATAATGTGAGCCAAAAGAGGTCAAAGAAAACGGCAATTTTAATATTTTATTCAAACTTTCATTCATTATAAACGTCGAGTTCATTGGTAATGCATTGCCTTTAAAACAAAAGGTTCTGATGGATGAAACATTAGGGGCAAAACATGAATATCAGAGGTTCTCGACAGCCCATTTTTCCCACAATGTTGGACATCTGGTAGTGATGAATTTAACTGAATAACTTAACTACAGAGGTGATTGTAGAGGGTGGTGATGCAGGCCTTCCATATCCAATGATCTTGGGCAATAATGGTGTTAGTGTTCTGCGGGGAAAAGGGTTGTTAGGGTTGTTTTTTCAATGTCTTTTGTTTTGTTTCATTATTAAGACATACATGTACGTTCAGTTTGCGGTAAGTGGGAAGTGATTCTCAGCAAATAGAAAAAAGGGTGATAAAGGGATAGGTTGCATTTTAAAAAAGTACATTAAAGAGGAAAGTCAATGATGAAACTGAATAAAACTGAGAGAGATGGAAGGAAATATTCAGATGTCTAGCTGAAAAAAGTGGCCCAGCCCGAGGTAAGGGCAATGGTCAGCATTAAAACTTTTACCCCCCGGGGCACAATTTCCCTGATCCTGACCGTGCATCCCTTCGGGGTGGGGGGTGTCTTTGGTGAATACTGTCACAGAAAACACATTAATTTTCAGAGGAATCAGAAAAGAGACTTCAAATTAGCACAATCATTCAGGTCCCTAAGTGGCCGAAATTTTCGATGAAAGTTGAATGGTTTAGGTGGTTGTCTGGCTGCACCATCCCTTACATGACGTGCGCATGTGATTAGATTTCCTGAAATCGAAATTCGTTCCCTGACTTCAAGCAACATTGAAATTCTATTAAAACTAGCTATTATTTTTCAATCCTGAACAATCAACAAAGCTCTGATTCAGTTGAGCGTCACATCATGACCTCATGACACAAAACTCCGATATTTTTTTCGACGACATAAGCCAAATCACAACCGGTGCGCCTCGAACACGGAAACGTTGGGCCTTTGTCTGCCCGTCAGTCACATCAGACGACAAAGCCATCGTTTGGCTGACGAGCGGGGATGCTGGGAGTCCTCGCCCTGGAACAGCTGCCTGTAAGTCTTGGAGGCGGACACGTTGCTCCGCAGTGTGCCTGTTGGTGTGCGCGACACCCGCGGTGGGGAACTGCCTGGAATTAAGAAAGAAAAAATAATACAATAGATAAAAAGACAGTCTATTGATCTCCACAAAGAGACATTTGTTGCAGCATGATACAATGTAAATTTTATACGCTCGTCAAAACTTTGTCTCTGTCTATCTCTATCTCTGTCTCTCTCTCTCTCTCTCTCTCTCTCTCTCTCTCTCTCTCTCTCTCTCTCTCTCTCTCTTTATTTCCCTCTTTTTCCCACTATCACTCTCTTTCACCCCTCCTCCCACACACACACACTTTCATACACAGATGCACACACACAAATAGTCACTAGATGGACATACAAAATAACGTTATTTTCGCACACTCAACAATGACTGTATAGCTTGTACTTGTATAAATGACGGTATGAATAATTTTTATACCTGTTTGTTCGTTGATTTAAAAAAATATTAAACGTTTATTTCTAACAGATATCAAACATTTTGAATTCAAAGGGTGTTTGGTGTTAGCAAATATTTTCCTTCGTGCTTTCACAATACTGATGCTGTTAAAGCTCGGGGAAAGAGAAGTGAAGTACCAATAATGTTGCCGCTTTGCGTATAACCATACTCTGTCCGTCTGTTCAAAATGTAATTGTTGTTGTTTAAAGATGTTTCTTCCATAATATGAAATTCCGAAAGTAATTAAGTTTTCAAATGTGGGTGGTTGGTGGGTGCTCTGGTGTGATTTGTTTCTTCTTTCCTATCAGTATCAGACATAGATCTATATCGTCCTTTTCTCGCCTTTTTCTTTTTTATGTTTGTTACTCTCTTGTAACACCTATAATCTTCTGGCGCTCATATGACCTTATGCAGTTGAGAGCGCCGTAAAACCTCTACAAAAACTAAAAATAAGTCTTCAAATGTTGACTTTCAAAATGTATCCCTTATATCATTACTGTAATTTCGAAAGACTGTTATTTTAAATAATTCCTAAGATCAACATTTTCCCCACTGAACCAGGGGTCTGAGACTCAAGGCACTCGGGCCAATTAGACCCCCAGGGCGATATTTTGCAACCCATGAACTAATATTTGACATCAAAGTTTACTGTCGCCTTAGTACAACAACTCTGTAACTCACACTATGTAAAAAAAAAAACCTTTTTTAAACTAAAATGTAACGTTGCAGATTTTGTGTCAAATGACAGAAGTCTTCAATTTATGTAGATAATAGATACAGTGGAATCCTGTTATAACGAGAGGGAGGGGACCGGTACGAAATGTCCGTTATAGCAGTATTCTCGTTGTAAGGAATCCCGTAATAAATTCAAAGGAAATAATAAAGTAGGCCTAATCTATGAGTTTGGTGTTCTGTTTCTTTTTGTTATCTCCTCTGATGATGGCTTTGCTCAACATAACCTGTAGGTCTTACTTGATCAAAAATTGAATCAGGTTTCTTTCTCTAGCGTTAGCGATGTTGACAGCTGGGCGTTGGCTATCAGAACGAAAGTTCTCTAGGCTAACTCGCCCGCTGTGTTTTCCCCCACCCCACCACACCCTGTGGTGCGTTCCTGCGTCTGCTTGCGCACGTCACCCATTCGCTCCATGATCCATCACAGCACTGTGACCTCTCCATCCCCGCATCGGAGAAGTGAGAGGCATGATAGGCCTAGATAATCTAGACTAGGCTGGCCTATCACTATCAGGCTATACATTCTGCTTCATGACTGCTTGTGTGCGCATGCCCCTCCCTTCCCACTGTTTCGCTTCGGCCTTCATCGTTGGCACACATGGGCTCTCCTATTCTTTGTTTCGCTTGATCACCAACAAGTTTCTCAACTGGCGAGGTATAAATGGCCTATGCAATGTGCACCGCAGCAGCGATACTTGGCTATAACCGACTCGCGAATTTATCTGATTGCGCTATAGCAGTATTTTATTTACAAAGATAAAGAAGAAAAAAAAACGGGTTTTAGAATATTGTCTTTATATCAGACTTCTCGTTACTTCAGGACTCATTATAAGTGGAATTCACTGTACCACAACGGAACAGATTATTAAATCCAATAGCTTTGTTATTGTTTTACCTGTGGAGATGTCATCGCAATAGACCTCAAACACACCGTGCATCGGGTCATCTGCCTGTTCTGCGGGACCTAGGATAGGAAGATCTTGCACATTCTCCACAAGTGCTGAATCAGAGCTCTTCCTGTTCTTCTTCCTCTTCCTGCTGGCCCCGGCCGTGGTAGGCGGAGACCGCTGGGCGTTGGTCTCTGCTGTCATACGCAGGACGTTTCCCCCACCTCCCATGCGATGCTTCCTCATCGCCGGCGCTGGGCCACTCTGAAAGATTTGAAAAGTACAATATCTTAAGGTTGATTATTATTGTAATTCTAAGTGCTTTCTACTCTCTTCTTCGTTTTAAACCGATGCCTTTGGTGTAGCTGATAAGCACCTCGCTGTTGCGTGAACGATATCCGAGCTCGATTCACGAGTGCCAAGAATTTTGTTTTTACTAGATAAGTGCGCTACGGTGCTCGCAACTGAATAAGATCATATGAGAGCGAGGAACACATAAAACATTTATTTTTTTTAGTTTTGTAGGAATTAATTTTGAACTTTGCCCGGGTGGCAGCCAAAGCTTACTCTGGTCGATTTTGGACCACCAAGGGATCTTTAACAAGCGCAACTTGAAAACAGGACCTCTGAGAATGTTCGCCCTTATCCGCGAAGGTTAGGTGTTCGATCTCGCATGCATTAAGATCAGGGGTGTGGCTGAAAGACAGCAGTAATAAGAAGCCAAGAAGTAGCAGTAGAAAGGCTGCAGAAAGAGTCAGGAACCCAGAGGAGTATGGGCAGAAAGTGGAGACGAAAGCATGTGACAGAACATGGTTAGAGAGCAGGAAAAGAGGTTAAAGAAGAAAATTTTCCGTGACTGTCAGGCTTCGAACTCCAGACCTATTGAATGAGAGGCGAACAACATAACCTCTAGACCACGAGAACCCCTTTAAGTCGCCTCCCGGGCAAAATTCAAAATTCTCCTTACCATAGAAAATACCCCATACCGCACAAGTGAAGTAGTAAGACACATCCTTACACTTTCCTTGGTTTCAAGCGTATTGAGTCTATTGACGATGTCTCTCCTTCAGGGTAGATTCTATATATCTTCAGGTATATTAAAGAAGTCAAAATCTGAAAGGAGGGAAGTGGTATTTGGGCAGTCTACTTTTTCTATGTCTACAGCCCTGGCAAAGCTGTTTCATGTCCACTGCTGCACTGTAAGGTCACCTGCCAAGGCACAAAATGTCCCTATCGAAAAAGTTTTGATCAAAACTCAAGGCGCGGTGATTCGACCCTGTCAGTTCCAGCATATGCCATTAACGGAAACACCCGATGAAAAACTCCTCTATTCAGGAATCGCACTCACGTCTTCTGTGTGCAACCGGGAAGAACCTAACCTCCACCCCACGCCTACAGACGCCGGTTTGTTTTTCATTACGGTGAACAACATACTTTGACAAAGAATAGCTTATTTCGTAGGAGGAGCACTGCGTTCCATCCGTTCCTGATAAGAGGCTGAGAGTCTAAGACGACTAAGAAGAAATTAAAGGCCTGTTATTTCAATAGCAGAAGAAAACGAATAAATTCAACTCGTGTTAAGTCAACGATTTTCCATGTGATGGCCCATGTCCTGATGAAATCCTCAACATGTGCATGCAAGCAAAGTGTAGCTTAGACATTGACAAAACTTTGACGAATTTCTGTGAAACCACAGATGCTGTTGTCGCCCTGCGTGCGAGTGGGTTTTGGTTGTTTGTTGTTGTTGTTAGGTTGGGGGTTGTTTTGTTGTTGTTTGTTTTTTTTGGGGGGTGTCCCTTCGTTTGTTTGTTATTTTTAAAATGTTTTTTTGTGTTTTGGGGGGGGGGGGGGGGCGTGTTTTTTTCTTTGTTGAGCGAACACGTAGAAAAGCTTCCGATATTTAATCAATTGCTAATAAAGCCCTTAGTTTCCCCCAATTATGTTAATTTTGGTCCATTGGTGATTTTATTCGTTAAATTACTATTACACTACTTTATCTGTCCGCTCATCTTTAGGAATTCTTTTTTTAAGATCAGTAGGCAAACTCAGATGATTATCCTCTCATGGTCGCCTCGGTCTTGAAATTCAAATGGACTTGTAAACTATTACTTTCTAAACTTAATGACATGTTGCGGAACGCTATACCAAATAGTTAGTAGTAGTAGTACAGGGTTTTACGACGCTCGCAACTGCATAAGGTCATATGAGCGCGCGAAACACAAGTGAATTTTGTTCACAACAGTTTTCTGTACGGCTGGCTCGGGTCAGTAGTTAGATTTTAAAATGCTAAAATGTTTTTAAAAATCAGTGTAAATATATGTATATTTTCAATCTAAAACAATTTTCCTAGACAACATTTTAAAAATTTAATAGTTCGATTTCACTTTATAACTTGCCATAAAGGCCAATGGCCTTTATAAAATTCAAAATTCTGTCGGGACCAACAACGGAAAAAATGTCTTGCAATTTCTTACATTTATGATATTTCCTTCGGATCTCTCCAAAGTCCAGACATTCGGTTAGGATGTGTCTAATGGTAAAATCTGTGTCGCATCCGACACAGAACGGCTTCTCATCTCCCTGTAGGAGGTATTTGTGGGTCAGGGCCGTGTATCCGATGCGCAATCGAGTAAAAACGACTTTGTCTCTTCTGGAGAGGTCCGAAGGATTTCGCTGTTCCAGTTTGGGTTTTATAGTATACAGTTTATTATTTTTCTGTTTTTCCCAGTAACTCTTCCACAGACTGGAGGTGTACTTTTTTACTTTATTTCTATAGTCAGTCCGTGGGAGAGTGTTCCAAATAGTTATAAAAACGTCAAATATGTTTGGCCTTCTGTCAGAGTAGTTGCAGTCTCAGTTTGTAACATAGTGGGCAACACGATTTGCAGCTCGGGTTTGGTTCCCTTTCTTGGTCTAGCTTAATAAGGAGAAGATAGAAAAGTTGATTTCGTGACGAGATGGACACTTATTCAGAACGGTTCCATATTTAAAACTGAAGTGACCTTAATTGTTTTGAATTTCTACGCGGTTTTGAATTGTTATGTTGAACAGAATGCAAAACCCAACCGCAAACAATACAAAGCACTTACAATAGTCTCTGCACTCTGTCGGAACACATGGAGTCTCCTTAGTTTGCCCAAACCATGATTGCGCTTTGTCGACCCCCTCCAGGTGGGACGTGCAGGTCTTGGGGAGGGGCCGAGGCGCTGCCAGGCTGTCACAGGAACTTTTTTCTGACAAGCATCTGAAAAACAGACGAAGCAGGTATCTTAAACCGTTGGTAGGCAGCACATTGTTGGTGCCATAGAACTGAGATGTATTTTTGGTGGTTGTAGAGGAAGTAAGGTAATTGTTGGTGTTGCTCTCTACTGCTGTCATTAGATATCTATTACTTCAATACTTGTTTGTTGCGTTATGATTGGTTTGCGTTAAGTTACCAAAATACCTCAGGGGCTGCCAAGCCATTTTGATGATGGGAGAAGCCAACTCGACGGGTTGACTGCTTCGTTTATCGTAGCAGTTTTGTGAGACTTGGTTAGATTTTGACCATTTGATACGGCACACAGTTCCCCTTTGCAACTTTGATTATGCTTATCTCATAGCATACCGTCGAGACAGATGAAACCTTGTTAAGTCAATGCTCAGTCTGTGTGGCCAAAAGATAAGCAAATAAACGAAATTGCCGAGATTTCCTGTTGGGATGAAATATGAATACAATAGAATTAGCACAAAAACTGACAAAAATGCTGGATCTACATGCACAATCTTCCTTCCATCATTCTAAATTGGAGGGTTTGGTTGGCAAGTTAACTCATTCCTACTCGTGTCTCCTCCTTCAGAAAGTTAAAGGCGTGAGGATCCTTATCGTGGCGACTTTGATATGGACGGTATAAACTCATACCGAAGGATCTTTTTAAAAAATGCGAATACCACGCGCTGATAAATGTGGGAAGAATATTTAACGCGCTGATAAATGTGGGAAGAATATTTAACGCGCTGATAAATGTGGGAAGAATATTTATTTATAAAAACCCTTTGGTAAAGGTCTTTTCATCCCTCCGTTCGGAACTTACTTGACCTACTACACTCTGTTGGGCCAATAGCAGATTTGTCATGACGGCATGCGCAAAAGCCAATTTTAACCTATTGGTATAAAGAAAGTAGGAGGGGATGAAATAAACCTTTAAGCATGCTTACCCATTAAGGAACCAGGAAGTGTAAGGACATCTTTTTTGTGGCTTTTAGGTTGCCGCATCCGAGCTCGTCTTCGATTTAGTGCTTGCGGAGCCAGGCACTGAAGAAAATGCATAAAAAATACATTCAATGGGTCTGCCATTGAATCATATGTAAAATTAATGTTCTCACACAGTTGTACTTGTATTTACGCCCATTCATCAGCAGCAAATGGTGCAGCACGGGCGTGCAATAGTTCAGATAAACACTTATATTTCTGAACAACTCACACTCAGGTGCTACGAGAGTGTACACGCCCAGAAACAAAAACCAGACACAATGGACAACAAGTGAAGGTAAAAAACAGAAGAAGACATGACACGACTTATAAGGAGGGGCCTAAGAATCCTACGATTATAAAGAACCCGTCTCTTTACACGTGACGCGACGTCTTGCCGCGTGCGACCGTCGCCTGCAATCGGTCTATGTAGCGATCGAGACCTCGTCGCGAGCGACAGACTGCGGCTGTGACAGATTTAAATCATCACGATTGGTCAAAATACATTAGCCAAGGAGTGCCGGTCAACACGCCGTGTGTGTGTTGTGTGAAAGTGGCCGTCGCTTGCGACTGCCGAGCGGGACGCGTAACGGAGACTCAGGCTTCGGGATCAGACAGGAGCATAAGCAGTAAAATTAAATTTGAACTATTGAAAAATATTCGTGAAAATTTTAATTTAAAATGAAATCTCTTTTCAAAAAAATATTAAAAATAAAAAAATTAGACTTTACATTTGGGGTCCCGCTCACCTTTTTCATTTTTCTCCATAAACCAGTCTTCCGTGGATCTGTTCCCGGGAGGTGATTCATTGTCTGGTGTTCGCCTGTACATTGTGCTTCGACAGTATTATCAACTGTTAAGAAACTTTCAACCATTTGGCCTGCCCTTTCACCATCTGCGAACCACGTAAGATGTAGATGATATGAAATATTCTTCCCTTTACGGTTGTTTTGTTTGAGGGATGTTTTTATATTTTTGGGGGCAGGGGGTGTTGTCTTTTTTTTGGCGGGGGAGAGTTTTTGTCTTTATTATTTTTGTCTTTTGTCCGAGGGGGGGGGTTACAGGATGTATTCTACGAAACCCATTCAGAATGCGCGCACGTGTGTGTGTGTGTGTGTGTGTGTGTGTGTGTGTGTGTGTGTGTGATTGTGTGTGTATGTGTGCGTGCGTTTGTGTGTTGCGTGTGTGTTTGTGCGTGCTTGTGTGCGCATGGGCTTTACGTTAACGTATTGTGTTTCTTTGATACTATTATTTCAATACAGTAGAAGTCTGCTTTTGAAAAGAATAATGTGCTAATATATTTTTAAAATGTCTAATAATTTTTTAACTCTATCAGAAAATGATAAAAGAAAAATAACATTAATGGAAAATTGTCCTACAGATTTAGTAAGACTTTAAACAGCACTTGCTACACAATTAGGTTATATAAGTGCTGAAGATTAGAAGTGTTGCTAGAGAGAAGCATGCATAGAAGGAGAAGAGATAAGGATGATAGATGTTTGATTCGCAACAACAAAAAAGAAAACAACCCTAGAGGACTCGCCAACCGCCCTCTATGAAATTATAGGAACGGGGGGAAATGAACAATAAAGAGAGAAAGTTTTAAAAGACGGGCTGTGTTGCACAGGAAGATTTCTTTGTTCAGATAATAGAAACACAATGTCTGTCTTTGGTCATCATAATCATTTGGGTACTTATTATTGTTGCCTCGTTTCGTAAACGATTGTAAATAGTCTGAAGATTACGACCAGTGAATGGAATTTGTTCAAAATAATAATTCTCTAAAAAGTTTACCTGGGTAGTAAATGCACGGTAAGTCTGCAGGGAAGTCTTCTACATCTACCACTCTGATTCGTCGAGAACTGAGAGGGGCTGGGCTACTCCGAGTTGGACGCAGATTCACGAAACTTTTTTCTCCCAAAATTGCGTTGTCCTCGTCGTCGCCAATACATAGGTCTTCGTTCCCCTCCGCTCCGTCGAAAGGTACAGCCACAATCGTGTCAGCATCGTGAATTTGTTCGGTAGAAATAATATCCGTCACTTCGCCTTCGTTCTCATTTCCCTCGGTCTCTGTGCCAATGTTGGTTTCTAAGTCGTGGGTCAAATTTTCCACCCGAGCGTCTTTCAATGCCCAACAAATAGGAGACCCATTTCTTTGATCTCCCTCCTGAGTTGGTATCACTGAATTGTGAATATCTATCTCAAGTCCACCCAGAACTCCTATATTTTCTTCAGAAGGTGTGCCAAAATATTCCACACAGGGAGTTCCAAGTTCCTCATTTTGAGAGACTCCACTAGAAGTCTTCCTTTTGCTCTCATGATGTCGTGATTTACCACCGTGAGCCTTCGCTGTCGTGAGACTTCGTATTTTCGGTCTCGCTCCACCGTAGTCAGGCTTCTCTGACTGAGATGTGCTTATCTGCGCCATGGCTGTCCCACCTTGGAATTGAATTTGAGAATACTCTCCCGAAATACCTGGAGTATCATTTTCTTCTGAAATGAGAGAGGGCATCTCCACCAAGGGACTTGCTTCTCTGGGCATGTACTGGGCATGCACAATTTTATTCGTGTCTTTATCAGAGTCTTCCAAAACATCCATATCGCCGCTGATACTCTTGGTTGTTGCGCAGGTTACGTGCATGAAGTCAATCACAGGAGGGCTCGACTCACGAAAGTCTGTAGCATAGGCTTGTCCCCCGAATGGCGTAGGAGAAGGAGACAACTCTGCATCGTTATACTCCGATGCCACTGCCCCTTCTACTAGCTCCATATCACCAATCAGCTCCGGTTTCCAGTAGCCAAACTCACTCCAGTATTCGTTGTTTAGTCTGTCAGGGACGACAGACCCCGCCTCTAGCCGTCCTCCAGAATTGAGAATCCATTGAGAATCTAACTCATTCCTAACTTGAGGATTATGCTCCGGTGAAGGTTCTAAAAATTCCCATTCAGCAGCATAATCCTCTATTGAACTTTCACAAACAGGATTCTTTGCCCATTCTTCATGACACAAAGTAGAGTCTTTCGTCTGAGTTTCTCTTTTTGAATTAAGGGAATTTTCGGGGTCAGTCGTCCAAAGCGATAGATCTCCTTCGTTCTGCGGCTGGCTGTATCGGTTCTCAGAGTCATCAATTAGGGTAGGTTGAAGTACTATTTCTTCTCTTATTGTATTGACTTCTTGGGTATGGTCCCTGTCTTCAGATGTGTCTGACATAGGTTCTCGTTCCCTCTCATCACTGTTGAATGTCTTCTCAGCACCACCCTCTTCTGTTTGGTTCCCTAAGTCAAACTGTTTCTGTTCGACTGGTGTGCCGGACGGATTTTCGTAGATCCCAAGGGATTTTGATGAACAGCACAAAGGCTCGTGGCAATCAGTATCATTTACGTCTACCTTTCGAATTGCTTCATCTTTTCTTTCTTTATTCCCCTGAACATATTTCCTTAAAACCTCCAAAGATTTGACATTCTCCTCAAACTCATCTTTCGGTAGAATATAATGTTTCCCCTTTTGAGAAAATTCCCGTTGCTCCGATGCCTCTATGGGCTCTTCTTCTTTGTTCACTTTGTCTCCTGCACCTGTTAATTCTAAGCATTCTATAGGTGGACTAGTGTTTGGTAACATATCCTCGATAGGGTTTTCTTCAATTTTTGTACACCAACTTTCGCCATTGTTACGAGGAAATTCCCTAGTTACCTCCACGCTGAGAACCGGAACATGTGTTATATTCTTTAGGCTGGAGTCCTTAATTTCAATATACTCCTCTTGGGCAACCTCAGTTCTTAGTAATGATTCACCTTTTCTTCCTGATGATTCAAACCCTGTAGCTTTGCAGCCGCTTTCCGGTTCTGTGGTGCTAGAGTCATTCACCTCCTGGGCTGAATATTGTCCATCTATGACAAAGCTGTCGTCATCGTCCAGAGCTGGATCAGGGCTTTCATCAGCCCAACTGCCAATGTAGCCACGGTATCCGTGACTACTCAGAGAAAACTCTTCCAACGCATCGAAATCATCAGTGTTAAGATTAGATGGTTCGTTATCTAGTTTTCCTTCCACACTGACAGAGTTTACTGATTTTTTGCTACTTTCAATATTTCCTTTTTCTGTATTAATTGTGGAGGTTTGCATGATTACTCTGCTAATGTCTGGGGAATCTGGCGCTTTTGCTGTTGGCTTATACCAGTTCGTCTCACAGCTCTTCGTTTCACCCTTACCTGTGCTTCCATTCTCAAAAGGAAGATCTGGGGGAGTAGAAAATATATTGAAACGTTCACTTCCAGCAAGTTCTCTTGCCTTTAGTTCACTTTTAGAAACCTGTTTAGTGTTTTCATTTTCTTGATCCTTGTCTTGGGCTTTTGATGGCTCATCCGTTTCGAAATCTTTTTCAGAATAACTTCCTTGGTTGCTCTCAGTAGTACTTACCGAACTTTCAGCAAGGTTGTTTCCGATTTTAGTGCTTTGGGCATCAGATTTTCTGTCTTTTCCTTGGTCTACTCTGTAATCGAGGAATGCTTCTACTGGGGACGTAAGAGTCCCGTTAACATTTCTTTGTCCCTCTTCTCCATAAAGAATTACTTCGTCTCTCACAGTAGCAACCGGACTCCCGTGTGATAACCTGCCATTTTCACCAGAACATCCCATCATAGAATTAGAATCATCCCCTTTACAAGGGTAATCATTCCTGTACATATAGCTATCCATCGACGGCACACTCGTTATTGATTCAAACCCGTGCTTTTCTGGGCAAACTTCTTCAATGGCTGCATATGTGTCTTCTTGTCCCCTTAGACACTTTGCTGCACTATATATGTCCTTGCTTTGATATGGATCCACAGGGGAAGATTGACTCTTGATTAATTCCCCCAGCACGCCTGTCTCTGGAGGGTAAATTTGGTTTGTCGAAGGCTCGATCAAGCCCCTAGAAACTATTCTGTGCCCTTCACATAGAATATTGTCATTCGAAAAATAAACGTGAACTGGAGACGACAGAGTTTCGTCCACAGGTTTGCCTTCTTCCTCTCCTATGGTGAATGTACTTTCATCCGCATGATCCCCAATTTCCCCTAGTGATGATCTGTCCTTTTCGCCAAAGCGTTCAATAGTAGAAGTAGAATTAACAACTTCACAGGCATTCTCATTATCGTAAATATAATCATCTAACGGCGATGCACATGTTCTTTCTATTAACTTACATTCGTCTGGGATTTGCTTGTCTAACTTTATGTTCTTTTCTTTCCATGAGCAACTGCTGTCATCTGAAAAATCATCTTCGAGATAAATGTTTGTTTGAGAAGGACGATTCTCGTTTGGTTTATTGATTAACTTCTGTCCCAGTATGGGAATGTTGCCTGTTTCCGTGTATTCCACACCACTCGACCTTGTACCTTCTTCGTTATCAAGGAATGGCCTCTCTCTTTCCCCAACCGTAGCATTGACTAAGCTTTCTTCCTTTTTACTTTCTGTCGAAGATTTGAAATGTTCCATTTTGTGCACCTTCAAATCATTTTTAGAGCAGTAAGTGTCGATAGGCGATGCACTCGTCTTTTCTTCAAAGCTGCTAAATTCCGAGGTTTGTGTTATTGTAAAATGTATACGGTCATCAGAGGTATATAAATCCACAGGGGACGATTGTGTTTTATTAGATTCTATCAATCCTTCCTCTCTGAAAAAAATATTTTCTCCACTCACAAAATCAGCGAAATCCACGTAAGATGATTTATCCCTTTCGCCACAGCTTGATAACGAGGAGTCAGAATTCGCCACTTTGCAGAGGATTCTATCTTCGTTGAAACAATACATTTCCACTGGAGATGAGCAAGACCTAACCTCAATCCTTTCTGACTTCTGTAATCCATATTCATCCTTTTTTTCTGCCTTTAGTCTGACGATCAGTTTCGACGTTTCTTTGGGTGTTGCCACTGTGATCTCAGTTTCTGGCGACTTTTCTTGGATTCCACCATTCAATAATATATCTTGACGTCCTGATAATTCGTCTGTGCACTCGCATGCTGCTTGAGAGTGGTCTTTTTGAATTATTGGAGACACATTTTCTGACATATGTCTTTCGCTTTGCTTTCCTTGAGGTTCAAAAATGGGGTCTGCGGTTACGGTTGCCGTAATAAGCTCAGTTGACTGTTTTTCCTCTTGTGACAATTGAATGTTAGTTGCCGATTTCTCATCTTTAATAATGATCCATTTCTCATGTTCTGATTCTGATCTTTCAAGTGTAGACATTTCCTTTTCCTTGGAGGTTACGTCATCTTGTGTTTTACACTCCTTCTCAGTGGCAACAACGTTTCTTCCAATAGCCTGTACTTCCATCTGTGTAACAGTTTCTGCTGGCACTCTGAGCTCCTCAGTCCCAATGGTGTAATGCTCCAGCTCTTTCTTGGAACTCGTGGCCACGATATGTTCACCACAACCACTCTCACTCAACATTGCACTACGTTGTCGTCTTTCTTTTTTTTCTTCTTTGAAATTTTTCAAATGTTCAACATCACCTTCTTCTCCTGTGTCAAAGACAGCCGGGTTTTGTTGTTCACTTTCAATCTTATTCTCCCTTGTCTCGTGCCCAGAAATGTCTACTTGTGAGAAGCAGTTGATTTCTGGTACAGTTTGAGAAGAAGCAGACATCTTCACGTCTTCCCCATTTTGTACTGGCTCACCTGTGTACAAGTGTTCCTCTGGCGTTTTCAGGCTTTCTTCTTCCACTTTCTTTTCCTCAGCATTCTGGAAGTTGTATCGACCCCCGGGTACACCACTGACGTTTACAATGTCGACTGGTTCGGTTTCAGCATCTGAATTTGCTTGTATTCTTGCCTGTGTTTTCTTTCTATGATCTGGGCTCTCTGTTGATCGATGAGAAACGCCAGTTAGGTGGTCTTTGCATGCCTCTTTGAAAGGTGGCTCGATATCTCCTGGTACGTTTGTGAATACGTCCGGTACAATACTACAACTACCTTCGACTGCTGACCTGTATGAGGTCAACTCCTGGTCTGAGTTACTGGGATGGTATCCTTGGACACAAGGCTGGCCATTTTCTGATTCTGGGTCACTGGGGACGGTCACAAATGCTGAAGCACCAGAATGAAAGGAGTCGCTCCCTGGACTGAGATTGTTGAGAGGGGAGGTTACCATATCTTGCATAACAAACACCTCTACCTCTGCGCACTGCTCTGTTTCTGGCTCGTTATGACTGTCAGATTCCGTGCTACTTGTTTCTTGTGTGGACAGTGTGGTGATATCGAAATTGTGTTCAGGAGACTTTGACAATTCAGTCTCAGAGGCCTCATCGTTGTGACAAAGACCTGGCACCAGTGCAGGCTGAGCGTAGGTTTCGTCAAGGCTCGCACATTGAAAATTATGCTGCTGATCAGAGCTCATGGGGCTGTTATTTTGCTGTCGGCCAGAGGACGCTATGGGTGACGAAGGGTCCCCATACTTGCCATAAGCTCGATATGTTCTGTTTCTTTCCTTGGGGTCTTCATCGTTCTCATCGCTCGAATGATCACTGCCGTCGTTTTCTTTCACCGATTTCTTTCGACAAGCCTGCTTACCTGACATTAAAAATGTGCCTTGCAGTTCTGGCTCTTGACTTGATGTTGACTGTGACTCTAACGGCGGTGACTTGGGGAAATGTGACGTAGAAGACTGTGATACAGATTCCTGTGACGATGCAGGTCCCTGTGGATTATTGACAGCTTGATAACCCACGGGATCCTCTACAGCAAACTCAGACGGGTGGTTGAACGACTCATCATGGGGTCCACTCTCTAGGATTGCTCCACATGAGGCCGAATTGAGAGAATTGCGAACATTTAGTCTGGTTGTCATTTTAGGGCCCCGACAATTGGGAGAAAACAAATTGAGACAGCAGTCTCCCAGACCTTCTCCTGAAGAACAATCTTTCTCCTTTTTTGATGGAGAAAGGTTACTGTCACTCTCATTGTTACATTGTTTAAATGCTTCAAGATATTTGTCAAAACTGTCACCAGCCTGTGGATGAAAGTTTGGACCAATAATTATATTTTCCTCCTCTTCATGCTCTTCATCTGCTTTCTTCTCCAACTTCTCATCGTTGTCTTCTCCGTCGGCATATTCTGTCGTTTTATGAGAAGCAGACGACTGTTTCTGTCTGTGAAAAGATGTTCGCTTGCCAAAACGACTGTTAGAGGCAACGCGGCACGGATCAGGTTCCACGTCATCCGGAGGTCGCCACTCAGTGTCCTCAATGTTCTGAGACTCGTCAGATGAAGAACGGTCCGAAAATCTTAGAGAGCCAAAGTTGCCTTCTGCTTCGGCTGATAGACTCGTTTGATACTCCAACCGACACGTACTCTTGACGTCATATCCTTTTATCTCGGAGGGCCATTCAGGATTATTTCCGTTAGTTTGTCCAGTGCTCGAGACTTTCATGTCTCCAGTTGCGTTCCTCAGCCCACCTTTCCGTTCCCCCGACGGCTGTCTGTCGTCCCGGTCCCGCTTTCTCTTGCTCACTTCCCGGTCCCTTCCGCGGGGTTTCTGGGCGTCTTTGTCCCAGGGTTTGGTATTGGACTCTTTCTCTTTACTGTCCCGATCTTGCCTTTCCTCACTACTGTTTGAGGCTCCAGTGTGCTCGGACTGGGATTCTCGAGGAGTGGGGCTGCTACCGTTACCACTTCCACAACTGTCACCCAGCAGAGAATCAGAACCTGAATTCCGTGGTCTTCCACTAGATGGTGCTTTAGACTCTTCCTCTGGAACTGTTTCACTTGCGGGTCGCTTGAGCTCCTTGAGAAAATCAAAGATGTTTGAAGTTAAATCTTTGTTTTCTTCAAACGTGTTTTAGTATTACAGCCGTGGCAGTATGAATGCAAGTCTGCCTTTCATTTTCGAGACATTGGAAAGAATTGTGATTTTTTTGGGGGGGCATAAGCTACACACCTTAAAGTACACTATTACAAGGTGAAAAATGGTAGGAGAGTTAACTAAAAACTGGATATCGTGATGTCAAAAGAAATATCATTATAATGGAGCACTTTAAGAGTTCATATGACTGTTACTTTGCAGCAGGCATAAAGAGAGACAAGGGATGGGCGGGAGAGAGAGAGAGAGGTACGGAGAGAGAGCGAGAGAGAGAGAGAGAGAGAGAGGGGGGGAGGTAGAGGGGGGGCAGGAGTGGGGAGGCTCAGCTGTAATTAAAAAGTTGTAAATTGAATGCTGTTTTGGGGGAAAACATATAAAGATTCAAAGAACAAAAAATTAGAATTGGTGAGATCTGTTATCGTCTCGGGTTACTGGGGATGGAACCGCAATTTGAGACAATCTCCGTGTATTCTGTCTATACACAACGAAGGAAAACGCCTTACTGAGCTGCTCAACTTCTGTGGTACCCCTGTGAGCGCAAGCTGAACTATGACCTCACATAGGCAAGCCAGTACCACGTGACTGATGAAGATGTTCAGTCCAGCCATACATGCCATAGGCTGCAACATAAAAAAGGAAGAGCATCACTTTTAACTACCATTGCAGAAAAATAAGAACAAAAGAAAAGGAGCATAAGCCAAGAAGACTTGTGCCCGTGGGTGTTTCATACACTATGTTGAGAACGTCAGAGACAGCAAAGAGCGGCTCGTTATGTCGTCTCAAAGATTTATTTTTTTTTGGTAAGTGTTTTACGGCACGCTCGAGACTACATAAGGTCATATCATCATATGAGTGCGCGGGACACACCAAACATTTTCAATTGGTGAAATTTTGAATTTTGCCCAGGTGGCGGCCGAAGCCTATTCTTATCGATTTTGGACCACCATTGGATCTTTAACGAGAGCAACTTGAACACGTGACCTCCAAGATTTTTCGCCCTTACCAGAGAAGGCTAGGTGTAGATCTTTCCTATCAAAAGATCAGGGGTGTGGCTGAAAGAGCAGTAAGTAGGAGCCAAAGAGTAACAGTAGAAAGGCTGCGAATGAGTAGAGGGGGCAAAGGGGGTGAGGAGGTGGGGGAAGAAAGTGGAGACGAAAGCAGACGAAAGATGATTGCAAAAGAGAAGGAAAGAAGGTGAAAGGAGACAATTTTAGAGAAGAAAATATTTTCGTCGCTTCCTGGATTCGAACCCGGGACCTTTGAATGAGAGGGGAATACCTTAACCTCTAAGCCACGAGAGCCCCCTCTCAAAGATTGTATCTATTTGAGCACTTGTGAAGGTGGATTATATATATATTGTGTGTGTGAGAGTGTGTGCCCATGTGTGTATGTGTATGTGCGAGTATATGTATGAGCAACCCCCCACCCCCCCTTCCCCCCGACATACTAATGGAAAAAACTAAGGATGAGTGTGGAAAATTGACTCCTTGACAAATATAGATAAAGAATTGCTATCTAGACTACGTAACTTTAATGAAATTCAGTTCACAGTTTCCGAACTATGTAAATATATTATGTAAAAATATTTACTCCCAAATTTCACCTTGCAGTCATCCGACACTGTTAAAGCACTCGGTGCTTCCAAACAGACATTATTCAAAGGTACAATCTGCTCCTCGCCGAGGCAGCACACGATCTCTTTCTTTTCTAGGCCGGAAGCCTCTTGACTATTCTGAGCGTGGATACCACACTCTGAAGTCACGCCTTCTTCTACCAGCCTGCCTCTCCCATACACCAGATTGGCAAGGACGCTCTCGCTGATGTCTTCAGGCGGGGCAACTCCTCCTCTCGCGCAGGCTTCGTTAACGGCCTGCATGACGTCCGACAGTTGCACGAGTCCCCGTTTGCCAAGTTTTCTCTCAGCTACCTCGATCCTCTGTGCCACGTAGTCTCGGAGGGAGCTTTCCTCTCCTATAGCCTTTGTCTCTGTCCCAGCATCGGCAGACATCGCGCCTGTTTCAGAAAGGCTGGATCGGATATCATTATGTGGACGGTCTTCGTTGTTTGTGTTTGGCGTGCCCGATTCGACGCACATATTCGAAAGGAGATTACATTTTTCATCACAAATCTGTTTGGTACTCCACTCCCCTACCGGGAATTCGCTTTTGTCTGATACGCAATCATCTTTCTCATCCTGTGGCGACAATTGGTGATTTCCCTTAGTTTGTCTGCCTTTTTTCCACTTCACTGGCTTATGGCTTTTTCGTACGGGGGAATAAGAATTCTCTGAGTCTGACTGGCAGCGTCCATCTGAGTACTGCACTTTGTCGTCATGGTTGTACTCTCTACCGTTATTATTTATCTCGACGTTCTCTTTTAACTCGACACCCGTCTTTACACAGTGCAAATCCCCACCTATGTTTCCAGCAGACTGTTGTGTCAACTCTGGATTCATAACGACTATGGGACTTTTTTGTTTATCGCAACTCACCACGCCTTCACCCCCGGCGGTGGGGGAAATCTGACGAGGAATCAGGCCCTCTTCTTGGCAGGCCTCCTCTTCCTTGATGCGAGTAGGAAACACTTCCACATTTGGAATTGAAGAAGAATCCCCCTGGCTTTGTTCTAACACATTGCTCAGCGCATCTGGCGGGATCGTCCTTGTGAGACTCTCTGTGTTGGAAGAGCTCTCTTTCACAGCCCTCATTTCCTCATCCTTCCTTACTTCCGCCCCTTCAAGCTCAATTACTTTCGTAGCAGCGAACTCTTCAGAGATGCTGGTCAGTGTGGGTCTGCTACTGACACGACACACGGGGATATGGCGCTTTATGCAAACGGGAGAGGAAGCAAGGGAAGACGATGAGGAGGAAGAAGGCGACACACAAATGCCGACGTGCTCCTCAACGTTCTCATCATCCTCGTCCGCAGATTCATGAATGGCTGGTAGCACCGAAACCGCCCTAGTCTTGCTACACGATGGGCGAATCCCGTCTACTATGTCCCGGTCCTCGGCGGGCAAGGCGCGGAGCTTTGCCAGATCAGGGCTGATATGGCAATCTCTTTTTATGTTATTAGAATCTTCAGACCTTTTAGAACGGTTTCGTGAAGGGTTCTTATCATGAACTGATCCTGTATCATCTCCACTAGGGTTGCTTCTTGAAGCGTCATCTGCTGTTTCTTTGTTCCGACAGGTTTTCTCCTCGTTCAATGCAACTGGGATGTTGCCACCTTCTGCAAGGGGGGAAGTGAAGTTCCCATGCTCCCCAGCCAGACATCCCTTTATTTCATCTATGCTTTGATCAGTTTCTGTTCCACGGATGGGAGTGATGCACTGATTCAGTCTGCAGTCTGGCCCACCGTCACCTATTCTTTCAGGAGTCTCATCTTTGATACACGATAAAACATCTAGCTGCTTACTCCCCTCAGAAATTATCTCACTGTCGGGGCTTGGGGTAAAGTTCTGGGGAACAGGAAAACACGTCATGATAATGTAAGATACCCGTGTCTTTTTTTTAAAAATCCGAATCGTAGTAATGGAGCAAAGGACAGGCAAAATAGACCTGGCAAAATAGACCTGAAACTGTAGACCAAGAGAATGTGACATAACTTTAGATAATCTTTCTTTCTTCATTCGTTTTGCAGACACGTATCACACTTTGGTTCGCAGTTTCACGCAGTAACCGGGGAATTATTACATAGCTACCTTCCCAATTCTCCGCTACGTTGATGGCCTTGTCAAGGTTTGAACTCATAATACTTTTCTTAAGGACTGGTGGGGCACCTGAGGTCTATTTTGGCTATTACAAGGCCTAGATGGCCCATATTTGCTGTGGGACATTGCATGTTATTGGGGATTTAAAATCAATAGTTCAAAAAGTATATTGTGAATCAGTTGCTATGGAAACGGTGGCCATATTGGATTTTGTATACCTTTTTCATTCCCATTGTATTCCCTTATTTATTAACCGATCCACTTCTAATTTGGCATGCCAACAGTAAATATGTAGTTCTTACATTTGGCATGTTGAATTTTTTATATATGCTTTAATTTTTATTTTATGACACTTACAATTGGGATGTTGCAAAAGAAGTGAAAAAAAGGAAAATTCACGCTTTCTACGCCCACAAATCAAAAACTACGTCATTAATCAAAAATTCTAAAAACCAAAATTTAGAACTAGGTGCTGTTGGTATCCTGTGAAAGTTGCATTGAAATTGAGCAAGAAACAGAGCAGAAAAATGGGATAATATTCGAAAAAATAGAATTGTGAGAAAACAGCCGACACAGGTAAGAAAAGGCTAGATTACATGTGCTTTCGCTGAAAAACCTAACAAAAAAACGCAGCTTTAGGGTGTCGCAAGGCTTACATACGTTTCTGGATATTGTTCAGGAAATGTCCAGGTACTATAATATGTAATAAACCCAATTTGCTAAATTTGACCCCAAAACACGGTTTCTACGTGCCCCACCAGCCCTTAATCTACGGAGGGATATGGTCACCTTCCAGTGGCCCCTAATCTGTTGTTAGATTATCTTTAACCTAACTTTATTTTTTTTGGGG